CATCGAGTTGGCGTTTGCTCCATTAAGAGGGAAAGGCAGCTAAAAGAGGAACACGTTGGAATTCAACCTAGGACCAGGATATAGAGGAAATAAACATTTAAAAAAAATACAAACCAAATCTGGACGTCTGTGGTTGCTGAAGCGATCTCCCAAAGCAGTAGAAGTGTACCCATTCCTGGCCCCGTAACACAAAAGGCTCAGAGCCCACTTTTAAGCAGCTGCTTTGTTTTATATGCAGAACAACGGTGTATCCTTTATATAGTGCCCAAATTTATTGCACATACATGGGATAACAGCTGAACAACACACTAGTGTCCTACACGTCAGAAATTCTCATCTATACTATTGCGCTGTATCCAGAGAGTAATTCTAAAATTTCCTACATGAGTTTTTGATTGACCAAGATGTTAGGGAAATGTCTTACAATTCTTTTAAATAGTTTCTCTTCCTTAAATTAGAATCACTGCCTATCTTCTTTGGGAAGCATTCTGTACGTACTGATTTGAATTTTTCACCCAAAATTCATGGACAAAATTGCATATTCAACATTCAAACCAAATTGCACATAATTTAATCTTTCTCTGAGATTAAGAAGCTTAATGTGAGATCTCCCTGAAACTCAGGAATTTCATGGTGATTTCAATTTGTATTGCGTGAAAGAAATGCAAACACAGCAGTTGGCAGATGGCCTGAGAACGGTGTACCCCCCGCGCAGTGTCTGTCTGGCCCCTCTGGGGAAGGTGTTCCTCCAGGGGCTTCTCACTTTTGTAGCGAAAAAAAGAACACACAATGATCTCTTTCACTTTAGGTAGGACCAAGCCAAAAAACAAGGAGCGTTTCCATTCAGCATATACCATTACCTGCCTTGTGCACACTGTACAAACATGCTCAGAAAACCAAGATCAAGGCCCAGTGAAGGTGGGGAAGTGAGCGATACATGCAGACAGTGGGTGCAGTCAAGGCTGAATTTTAAATCCCATGGTGGTAATCTGGGATAAGACAGGGTTTCTCCTTACTCAGGCTGAGAAATGAGAATTTTTCTTTTCTCCTTAAAAAGAAAAGCATTATTATCTCTTAGGAGAGAGAGATAAAGGCAAAAGATATATAAAGTAATGAGCTGAAAATGGATTTTCATTTCTAAAACAATATGCTGCGTCAATGGAATTACTGCAGAACTAGTTATGTGAAATTTGGTTATAAGTGAATAAAGAAACCAGTAAGATAAGGATAGCACATTGATGGGGGGAGAAAGAATTATTAAATTCCTGTCCTTCTTGATATGTTAATACTGACAATTAGTATTTATGTTCTCATCAGATGATACAAACTCTAGGCAAATTTCAAAAGGAATTAAGTAATAAAATCTGTTTTGAAGGAAAGAAAAAGGGAAAGAGAGAAACTGAGACAGCGAAGAGAAAGTAAAGAAGAAAGTTTAAAAAAAAAAAAAAGGCATCTTTAAAAGAGTTTCCAGGACTTGAATTAAGTATGGCATTAATTTTTTTCCGCCAAGTCTTAGTCTTGGCAGGTTTCTGCTAAATGCAGGAATTTCATGGATGTGGGAACTGGTGATGGAAAATGCATTATTATACACAACAATCGTTGTACTTGAGAGGAACTATATGGGAAAAATAACACCTTGGAATAAATACAAATGAAATTCATGTATCAAAACCAATACTGTGAAAATAGTTTAAATGTTTCTTGAATTTATATCTAGTCATTAACCTAAATGCAGATTTTTAGCTCAAGCTACACTTCTGCCTCATGGTCAGAAGGCCTGAAAACCTGTGACGTGGAAAATTGGCAGGATAAAGAATATTGAACTGGTCTCCATGGAGAAACAAAATTTGGCAGCCATGACCTCCTCCTTGGACGGCTCCCCATCCTTCACCCGCAGTCAAATTCTCCTCCCAGTTTCACTCTTGTCCCAGGAAAGAGGCCAAGGGAAGGCCATATACTAGCTAAAAACAGCAAACTGCTGTCAATCTGACCATTCACCAAAGGACCTTTCTCACTGGCCATGAATCCCATGGTTTGGGCGAGCCCTCGCAAAATCCCAACCCTAGACTCGCCCTCTGAGAGCAAGGAGGCTGGAGGTTTCCAACTCTGCTGACTTTGGTCTTCTTCCTCCTTGGAGAAGGAGGTGGAGGGAGGCCCCTGCCTTACCGGATGACCCTAAAAGAAACTGTAATTCACACACGAAAATGACAAATCTATTTGCAGAAATCCTTCAGCTCCGTTCCTGTGCCCCCCTCCTACTCCCATCCTGTTTTAATGCCACATTCTGCCTGGTTACTTTCAGGAAAGTAGGCATTTCCTCCGAGCTTCGTTTCATCTAGAGAACAAAATCCAGGGACTTCGCAAAAATCATTTTTCTCCATCTAGGAAGATCTTAACAGCCCCCACCCCTTGCCCTAGGGGTCCACCTCCCTCTTTGCTGGGGCTAGTCCCAAACCCAGGCTCCACTAAGCAGCCTGGTGTTGGTGGAGACTGATTTCCCTTCCAGCCTCACCTCCAAGCTCCCCTAACCCCCCAGCCCCCTCCAGTGGGTTCCTCTGCATGAGCCGTTGGGAGCGAGGACTCCCTCCGCCAAGTGAATGCTGTTTCCGTGTGCTGTGCCTGTGCCTGTCTCGGTGGTTTCACCCTGATCTTTTCTCTCTTTGCAGCTGGTTAATAATCCACTAGCAAGTCAGGCTGCAGCCGCTGCGGCAGTAGCAGCCATGGGCTCCGTAGCAAGCTCACAGGCCTTTGGCAATGCCCTCTCCAGCCTTCAGGGGGTCACGGGTCAACTAGTTACTAATGCACAAGGACAGGTGAGTGGGAGATGGGACCGAGAGTGAATTTGTCTGGCAGCTTGAACTTGGAAAAGGAAATGAATTGCTTTTGCATGACAGTGATATGTAACCGCCTCCACTGGAGGCCAATAAATAATGTTCACCAGCCACGTCAAGAGCAGGAGAAGGGTTGGGAGGTGTCTGTCTCTTTTAGAAGCAAGGTTTTCTTTTTGCCTTCCCCCTGGAATGTCTTAAGTTTTATTTTGGTTTGATTTCCATATGATGCCTCATGGTTATGACTTTCACTGAAGAAATTACTTTTCCTGACCGAGGAATTCTTAAAAAAAAAAAAAAAGTTAAATTTTAAAAATAAAACTTCAGTTTTACTCTTTTCTTTTTTTCTTTTTTTTTTTTTTTTGTGAAACCAGGGTTAACAGAGGAAACTGATAAGTTCCCTTCCCTCATGGCTCTAAGATTTCGAAATTAGCCTTAATAAAGCCAATTTCTGGATGTATGGGAAGGTGATGGGAAATGATTCAAAATGTCCTGGAAAAGTAATAAAGAAAAAAAAATGTGAGTTAGAGAGAAGCCCAGGGCCAGTCGCTGCCCGTGCCTGGCCTCCTGCTGATTCTCACAGAAGCTCAGTGGTCTCTGGCCTGCTTGTAGGTTTTCTTCCACCTGCCAGGACCAGTAAACCTCCCTCAGGTCTCGAGCAAGCACATCCGATCCCCTACACCACTGGTGTCCCTGCGTCTTGGCCACCAAGATGCCGACAGAGCTTCAGACAAGGGTGGCCCCTCTTCAAGACCCCCAGTAACCAGAACACTGCGCACGACGCCAAAGAGGTTGAAGCTGACAGTGTCGGGGACGCCCTCCATTCAAAGGCCTGACACAGAGCCCAGCCTTGCCGGGCAGGGCACCTTGTTCTCAAATGTTTCTGTTTCTGATGATGAAACACAAGAGAGAAGTCGCTTGCCTCCTCGCCAAGATTTTTACCCCCAGGGTTATTCACCCAGCGAGTGAGTTTATTCCTCTCTGCTTGGCCTGCTCTGCGGAGAACAGGAATTGCCGTGTCTTGAACCCTGTTTTTATTTTACATAAAGAGTAAACAGAGCTGCATTATAAGCTAAACCGTCTCCATCCATGTCCTAGGGAAAAAAAAAAAAAAAGGCTGACCTTGTTTTATTTCCTGGGCGGGTGCAGGGTCCAGGGGCCTGAACGATGGAGCTTGTCAAAGAGCAGCCCCAGGTAATGAATCGTTTTATCACAGGTGCACAGCACACATGTTAAAGGAGGGCTGTGTGAACGCCGTGCCCTCCACACTCACCTCTCAGTGTCGGCTTTAACCCTTGTTCCAATCCCTTTTCATCAAAGGATCATCTTATGCAGCCGACTCTAAATTGGAGGCTCTCAAAAGCCTATTAAGTTTTCTGGAGGGACGGGGTACTGGTGTGGAGGAAAAGTTGGTTATAATATCTCTAACTCATACTCAGATCAGGTCAGTCCTGGAAGCTGTCTCCTAGAACTGTACCTAAAAAACACCACCCTGATTCTTTCCTGCCGGGTGGCTGGCCCTTGAGATGTAAATTTTAAGAGTTCAGGAGGGGAGGGAATAGCTCAGTGGCAGTGTGTGCTTAGCATGCAGGAGGTCCGAGGTTCAATCAGCAGTACTTCCACTAAAAAATAAATCAGTATATAAATATATTTAATTACCTCTCCCTCACAAAAAAATTAAATTAAAAAAATTACATAGTTGGACAAAAAAATTTTTTTAACTGTTCAAGATAGACACCATAACCACTGATGTGTATTTATTTCCCTCTAATTTTTTTTGTTCTGATGTCTAAGTAAAACGTACCACTCTGCCCCACCACTTGAGTATTTGTGATGGGGAAAATGCCTTATGGTTTAGAAGGAATTATTAGGAGTTTTTCATCTGATGATTTAGTGGCTGACCATTTTGCCAGGCACAAATCCACCTCCTTCTCAGGGGCTAGAGTGACAGCTTCGGCTTCGTGTGGCCTTTGCCAGCCCCCATCCCAGGGGTAGGTCTCCCAGCCCACAGGTACCCGTGAGAAAACAGGCTTCAGCGTAGAAACTTGACTGGCATCCGCAAATATTGCACAAGAGTTGATTTTAACCTTAATTTTTCTATTGTAGAGATCAGTTATGGTAGCTGATTTGCTGTGAAACACAAACCTCTCCGGAAGTAAGAAAACAACTTACATTTACAGAGAAATCAATCATGCCCACTTGCAAAATCTTGTCTGGGAGTTTGAAACACGTCCCAAGAGCATCACGTCCCCTCCTAGTGCAAGAAGAGACCAAGAGAGTCACTTTTCCAAAGTAGAGGAAGTGGCTATGTTCATGCGGCACTATGTTTTTTTCTTTTTTAAATCTTTGTAATATAAACACCATCATCTTCCCAGAGAAAGGTGTCTGCTCTGCATCTCTTAGCACAAAGATACTTGTCTAAGCTTTACAAAATAGTCAAATTATACCCCCCCAAAAGGGCAAGTATTCTTTTGTGTGTGTGTGTGTGTGTGTGTGTGTGTATACACTCCTTTGGCTTGTATTAATGTGGTACAAAAAGTAAGAATACATTGGAATTAAGTTAATGCTCAAAATACTGTGTACACTAGGATTACTATATATCCAGCCGATTTTCAGTTCCTTACAAATCTCCACAGAGCTTTTCCAGAAGAGACACAATGAAAATATTCACTATATTTCAAGATTCTTTTATTTGAATTCCTGACATCAACTATTTTTTGCATTTGAAAGTTCATCTGGAAGAAATAACATTAAAATCTAAACCCAAGTTTGAGAAGGATGCTTCACTCGCCTGAGGATTGGGTGTAGCAGGTCTGCTGAGAAGGCATCAAGCAGGAGTGTTCTGTTACCGGAAATGCCCTGATCCTTGGTCCCCAGAGCTAAGATTCTCTTGGCTACCTGGAAACCAAGGAGGGATTACTCAGTAGTTAAGAGCCCTGACTGAATTCAGACCTGCCTGGGATTGAGTTTAGGCTCCCCCTCTATTTTATGACATTGGGGCAGTGACTTAGCTTTCCTAAACCAGAGTCTCATCCTCAAAATTCTAATGCAACCGCTGTGAGGCAGCCTGACCAGTGGTTCATGCTCAGAGGGCAGGTGGCCCTAGGTCTGCCTCCTTGGCTGAGCAGATGCTCCCTACACAGAGGGAGATATGCCTTCCTTCAGGCTCCAGGGCTTAGACGCTCAACAGGAAGAAATCTTACCACCTGGGACTTGCTGTTTGACTTCCCTATCTTAGAATCTGACTACGCTTCTGTTTACTGGATCTCAGTACATTTAAAGGGATGGGAAATCTCAATATAAATTAAGGATTTTTTTCTGTTTTTTTTTTCAACTAATAGTTATGATCAAATATGGAGCAAAATTTTCAGACATTTTATACCTTTCTGAACCTGCCATTCATTTGCAGTTAATTCAGAAGTCAGACGTTGGTCCAAAGAGTGAATAATTCTAACAAAGCACTACATTCTAAAGTCACAGAGCACATACCTTACCTAGGGATGTTAAAATATTTTAAAACCATGTCACATACAACTTCAGTCTGAGGTGGGAAAGGAGCCCGTGTCCTACTGGTGATTAGTGATAATGAAATTGATAAGGGCGATTGCAGTGCTGAGAACATTTTGGCTCTCTTTGCTTACTGAATCAGGAACCCTCGGAAGCATGGAAACCAGAAAATGGGCACTACCCATACGGACTTGTCTGAATCCCAGGTCAGCCAATAATTAGCTCTGTGACATTAAGCAAATATCTGAGCTCTCTGAGCTTCAGTTTCATTGTAAAATAAAGCTAAGCAAATCTAAGCCCCTAGATTATGAAGATGAAATGAGACAGTGTGTGAGAAAGAAGTACCTACCATAGCATCTGAGTACACAATTAAAGACTCAATACGTCACTGTCACAATCATCATCATCGTGGTTTAGAGCTGGTCTAGCATTTTGTGGAAATCTTTCTTTGGTCTGGATATACAGCAGAGGCAGTACAGGCAATGAGAATGGGCTCTGGAACCAGGCTGCCAGTCACCAGCTGTGAGACCTTGGGCAACTGACTCACCCTCTCTGTGCCTCAATTTCTCTGTCTGAGAAATGGGGATTACTATAGCATCAGCTTCTTGGACTAAAGTGTTTAGAACAGAGTCAGGCACATAGTTATCACTCAATAATGCTATCACTCAATGTTATCTGTTATTATTCATCAAGAAGCTATTTTGGGGGGAGAGTATAGCTCGGTGGTAGAGCGCATGCTTACCATGTCCGAGGTCCTGGCTTCAATCCCCGGTACCTCCATTTAAAAAATAGATAAAATATATAAACTTAATTACATCCCTGCCCACAAAAAAATTTTTTAAATAATTTTAAAAAAGATTTTTTAAAAAAGAAGCTATGTGTTTTCAGTTTATAACTGTGCACACAAACCTGCTGTGTGAGGATTTGAGAATGTGAGAATCTTAATAGTAAAATATTAATTTACTTTAGGGAAATCTCATCCTTGCTTTGGATAGTTCAATAGGGGTGTGTGTGTGTGTGTGTGCGCGCGTGTGTGTTCCTAACTCTTATTCAGTGGGTATGGTCGGGATTTGGCAAGTAGCTTTACCATCGATTTGTTCAGCTAAAGAATTAGCTTCCCTCGTGCCCCTGGCAATATCTCCTTATTGGCATTATTGCAGAAAAGTAAAAGCAAATGAAATTTTATTTTATCCTGGGGCTAAAGAAAGCATTTTACATTTTAACTGAAGCTCAGAATGCTTCCTGATGAAATTAGTTCTCGACCACTGTGAAATTTTCTTAAGTGGCAGCAAGTCAAAAGCCCTCCCTTCAGTCTTTAAAGAGCCAGTCAAGTGAAAAAAAAATATCAGCTAAACAACATTACTTTTTATATATAAGAAGAAGGAAAAATTAAAGGGACTTCCCCATTCACATGACCCAAGAATCCACACACCATGAAACGAATAAAGCATAGCCGAGCAGAGCTAGTTTGGTGAGAAGGAAGGGTTTGCTGCAGGACAGGACTGCTTCCTAAATGACCACAAGGCCATGGTCAAAGGAGAACAATCTGCTGATACTAAGAGCAGCCTGGGCTGGAGAGAGGTGGAGGAGAGGCAGGAAGACATTCCAATGTCATAACTTTCAAAAGCAGTGAAAATACATGTCTTAGAATTGAAGAACCTTGATGCTGGCGTTGAGATGTTCCTCTGAACTATAATAATAGGTAAATAACATCTGTAGAAGGCAACAGAGTGGCTAAGAACATAGGCTTTTGAAGGACAGAGGTCTGGTGTGTGTCTGAGAACACGTCTCTACCTCTGTGGCCTTGGATAAGTTATAGGACTTTCCTCGTCAGCATAATGGGTGTAGTAAGACTTGTCGTGCACTTTTGTTGTGGGGTCAGATGTGCTAATAGCAGTGCCTGATACGTCATAAGCATTTAATAAATTACATTAATCTATCAATAAATTAATATTGTAGCTATTCCTTTTAGGAATAGCAACTGACCCGGATATTGGGTTGCTCAAGTAATTCAACACATACTTTAAATAGAAATATGGGAATCTTTTAGAGAGAATCACTATAAGATGAATGAAGATCAAGTTATAAGAAATGCAAGTCTCAGCCAAAGGATTGAGATATAATGAACTTATTCAATGTGTCCATTGATCCCCTCTGTGGATTTTATTAGGTCTGTCTGCACAGGGGAACTAACAAAGCCACAGCTGCCCACGTTTGTAAAACTAATTTTAAACTTTTCGCAAAGGAAACCAAGTGTGGAGTGTTGACAGTGGGCCTGGAGCCGTTGAGATGCGTGAGACGCATCCAGCTAAAGCCTGTTGATCAGGAATTTAGGGAGTTTCACATGTACACCTGTATTTCACTTTTTATAATGAAACACTTTGAAAGCATCGAAAAATAAAAGGTAATTTTTTTCCATAAAAAATAGCACCAAAAAAATCCTTGTTCAGCCACCTGGATATTCACTTTTTTCCATGTAAGCTTCCATTCTCTTGCTTATTTTTAAAAGAAAGAAAACAACTGATTCAACCTAACACCTTTAACACTCTCTCTGCCCATTTCTCCCCTTCCCTTCCCAAGGTGATTACTATGATAAAATTGGTGATTTCAAAAAAAAATATTGATTTTTTTTAAAAAGCTACCAAATCATATTACAGAATACAATTTTAATACAAAAACTAGAATACATTATTTAGATCTTTCACATAAATAAGAATCAAACGTGTTTTGCTGAAAATCAGAGTAGGTATGTAAAAATTCAGAGTTGGCATATGTAGATTCGCCCCACCCCCAAATATGACCAACATAGCAATCTATTTATGTAATCTGCTCAACAAATGGGTTTGGCCATGTTTTCTAAACCAAAACTCAAAAACAGCCTGACATAAGATTTTACTTTCTCATTTCCAATCACTATGTTGTGCACCTGGAACTTACAGCATTGTCGGCAATTATATTTCAATTTAAAAAAAAAAAGATTTTGTTTTCTCATTGGCAAATACCACTCTATGAAGTTTTAAAAAGAGGTGAAGATTCAATCACATTCAGTGAAATACTTATCAAGTAGCGTCTTTAAAACAGAACAACATTTTTAAAATCAGCTCACTCTAGAGCCTGGGAAGTGTATGTTTACGGGGTTCGTAACATAAGAATTTTACCCTGGCTTCATCCGCGTAATAAAGATGAAACAATAGCCACAATAAACAACCTCAGTCTTCCCACTAACGTATCAGATGTCCCCTTTGAGCCCAGTTGCGAGCTCCAGTTCCTCATTTCAGGAGAGGCCGTTGCATTGAAGTAGTGCGTCCCTAAGTGTGAGCCTGGGGGGCGGGGCCAGCCCAAGAGTCGGCACAGACGGCGAGGCGCGCGGGGAAGCGCAGCGCCCTGTGTCGCGTGCGTGTCCCCGCCCGGCGGTCTGGGGACTCGGTCCGCGCGGGGCGACCCCGCGGATGATGAATATGGATGAGGACGGGCAGGGGCCCCGACCTCCGAGCCGACACGCCACATACTCCTTTAAATTATTCACCCTGCTTTTCCCGGAATCCCTGTCCACCCCATTTACACTTTGGGAAATGCTGCAAGATGTAATTCAGGAGCATCCCTGTCCACGTTTTTGAATGTGAAATAACGACTCCAATCTAAAAGGAACCACCTCCAGGGAAGGTCCGCTCTGCCCCCGAGGCTTTGCCGTGGTCTCTGCGCTACTGCTTTGGGTGCACACTTGCATAGCACGTGTGTGGGAAGGGG